CACGAACAGTCTTAATTCTCCCATGACTTCAGTTAAGCTCAATGGGAAGAATTACATATTGTGGGCCAAATCTGTTGCCATTTTTCCAAAGGCAGAGGTCTTGGTTCTCATTTGACTAAAGAGAAACTCAAGGCAACTGATACTTCCTTTGATGCATGGGAAAAGGAAGATGCTCAGATCATCTCTGTGATGATAAACAGTATTGAACCCCAAATTAGTTTAACGTTAATTTATTTGGATACAGCCAAGGAGATATGGGATAGATTGCAGCAGTTATATTCTGGGACAAGTAATATCACCCGTGTTTATAAGCTATGTAAACAGTACTTCAATCTTGAACAAGGTACTCAAAGTATAGAAGAGTATTATTCCTAAGTTATGGGAGTCTGTGAAGAGCTGAATATGTATCAGCCCATCACTGTTGATGTTCGCAGTATACAACAACAGCGTGCGGACTTTAATGTTGTCCGTTTTCTTACTGGTTTATCATCAGCATATGAGCCTTTTCGTGCACAGATTATGAGTAGTCCAACACTTCCATCTCTTGCTGAGGTGTTTTCTCGACTTCAGCGTGCTACACTAGCAAGTGATACCTCAAATTTGAATACTGGACAGAGTGGTGAGCGTTCAGCATTGGTAGTTTCAACGGGTGAACATAATACTTACCGTGGAGGTCGTGGGGGACGCTCCGCCCGCGGTGGTCGTGATTCACGTGGAGGACGTGGCCGTGGCAGGAAATTAAGAAAGTGTACTCATTGTGGTCTTTCTAATCATACTGTGAACTTTTGTTGGGACCTTCATGGGAAACCATCTAGTTATGCAAATCAAGTTTCCTCTTCTCCGAATGATGTCGCTTCTGGATCGCACAATGTAGCTGAATCAGATAAAATTCATGTTCCACGGGATGAGTATACTCAGTTTTTGTCTTATAAGCAAGCATCTAATTCATCTTCCACGGCGACCTTTGCGCAGTCAGGTACTGCACCACATGTCTATTGTCTTCCACTCGCAGTCCTTGGATCATAGACACTGGAGCATCTGATCATATGACCGGATGTTCTTCTCTTCTATCTGATTTTCATTCTGCACCTACTTCTCAAAGTGTTACTCTTGCTAATGGTTCATCCATTCAGGTTTCAGGTTTGGGGACAACTCAACTTAGTGATTCATTGTCTCTCTCGTCTGTTTTACATGTTCCGCAGTTTCCTTTTAACTTAATGTCTATCAGTAAGCTTACTAAATCTCTCCAGTGCTCTGTTATATTTGATCCTACTTCTTGTGTATTTTAGGATCTCAAGACGAAGAAGACGATTGGTACGGGACATGAAGCCGGTGGCTTATATTATTTTGATTTCGAACCTTCTCCTGTGACTCTTCAGTCTTCTCTATCTCCATTCCAGTGGCACTGTCACCTTGGTCACCCGTCACTTCAAGTTTTGAAGCGTCAAGTTCCTAGTCTTAGTTATTTGAAATTCTTGTCATGTGAAGTTTGTCAACTTAGTAAGCACCATCGCGTGTCTTTCAAGTCCAGGGTTAATAATCGTGTTTCTAGTCCTTTTCATTTGGTTCATTCAGATGTATGGGGTCCAATAAAACATTCTTCAATCAATAAATTTCATTATTTTGTGACATTTGTGGATGACTATTCTCGCCTGACTTGGTTGTTTCTAATGAAAGATCGTTCTGAGTCATTTTTAATTTTTCAAAAATTTCGCAAAGAAATCAAAACTCAATTTGGATGTCCAATTCGTATTCTACGTTCTGATAATGCTATATTCTTCAACTCCCTTTAATACATATCTTAGTGATAAAGGAATTATTCATCAAAATTCATGTGTTTATACTCCACAACAAAATGGAGTTGCAGAACGTAAGAATCGACATCTCTTAGAAGTAACTCGTGCTCTTTTGTTTCATATGCGTATGCCTAAACGGTTTTGGGGTGATGCTGTTCTTACAGCTTGTCATCTTATTAACCGTATGCCGTCATCTGTATTAAATGGCAAATCTCCAAATTCTATTTTATTTCTTGATTCTCCCTTGTTTTCTCTTTCTCCTAGGGTTTTTGGATGTGTATGTTATGTCCACAATCTTGGTCCTGGTTTTGATAAACTAGACCCACGTGCCACAAAATGTGTATTTCTTGGCTACTCTCGCTCTCATAAAGGTTATCGCTGCTATAGTCCTGTTTCTCAACGGTACTTTATTAGCGCGGATGTCACATTTTCTGAGTCCATCCCGTATTTTCAGATACTGATTCACTTCTTGATATCAATCTTGAGTCGCCTCCTTCTGCAGTTCCTCTTCCCTCACCTTCTCTTCAATCTCAATCTCTAGTTCCTTCATCTGCCCCGTTACAGGTGTACAAACGAAGACCAAAGCCATCAGCTGTCGTGCCTCCTCCATCATCTTCAGAGTCTTTGGATCCGACAAATTCCACTATGTCTGATTCCTTGCCGATTGCACTTCGTAAAGCTCCTCGCTCGTGTGCTACTAAACATCCCATTGCTCATTATGTTTCTTATAATTCCTTATCACCATCATTCTCATGTTTTTCCTCTCAGTTGTCTACTACATTTATTCCTAAGACTGTGCAGGATGCTTTGTCTGATTCGAGTTGGAGGAAAGCAATGCAGGATGAAATGGATGCTTTGCATACGAATGGCACGTGGACTCTTGTTCCATTACCTCCAGATGTCAAACCTGTTGGTTGTCACTGAGTATATACTGTGAAGTATCTTCCGGATGGGTCCGTTGAGCGTTTAACAGCACGTCTTGTTGCCAAAGGTTATACCCAAACTTATGGTATTGATTATGATGAGATGTTTGCACCTGTTGCTAAGATTTCCTCTATTCGTGTTTTGATTTCTCTTGCTGCTAATAGGCATTGGCCTCTGTTTCAGTTAGACGTTAAAAATGCCTTTTTGCATGGTGACTTAGCAGAAGAGGTTTATATGGAGCAACCACCTGGGTTTGTTGCTTAGGGGGAGTATCTTCACACTATTTGTTGCCTTAAAAAGGCTCTATATGGCTTGAAACAATCTCCACGGGCTTGGTTTGGAAAATTCTCTGAGGCGGCATTAAAGTTTGGTCTTCTGAGGTGTCAGATTGACCATTCGGTATTTCACCAGCTCACTAAAGCTGGTTTCATAATTCTTGTGGTGTATGTTGATGATATTGTGATCACAGGTGATGATTCTGAAGGCATTGCTAAGTTGAAGTTATTTCTGCAATATCGATTCCACACTAAAGACTTGGGTAAACTTAGGTATTTCTTGGGTATTGAAGTAACTAGATCCAAGACAGGTATAAGTTTATCCCAACGAAAGTATGTGTTGGACTTATTAGAAGAAACAAGTATGTTAGGTGGTCGTTCGGTTGATACTCCTATGGATTCAAATACAAAACTTGTAGCTGATGTGGGTGATCTATTTAGTGACCAGGGCAGATTTCGTCGCCTTGTTGGGAAATTAATTTATCTCACTATCACTCGACTTGATATTTCATATGCTATTAGTGTTGTAAGTCAGTTCATGGGAGCTCCTAGAATGCCACACTGGATTGTTGTTCTTCGGATTCTCCGATATCTCAAGCAAGCTCCAGGTTTTGGGTTACTATATAAACCAAATGGTCATCTCAGGGTGGAAGGTTTTACAGATGCCGACTAGGCCGATTCTCCTTCAGTTAGGAGATCTACTACCGGCTACTGCACATTTGTAGGAGGAAATCTAGTTACATGGCGAAGTAAAAAGCAAACGGTGGTAACTCGATCTAGTGCTGAAGCTGAGTATAGGGCAATGGCCCATACCACTAGTGAGTTGACATGGATACAACATTTTCTAAAAGAACTTGGGTTGACAGTTGAAACTCATACTCCATTGTTCTATGATAATCAAGCAGCAGTTCACATTGCATCAAATCCTGTGTTTCATGAGAGGACCAAACATATTGAAGTTGACTGTCACTTTATTCGAGAAAAAATATTACGTGGGAGCATCTCTACTCCATTCGTGAAGTCTGAAGATCAATTAGCCGATATGTTTACCAAAGCATTGGGTCATAATCGATTAAGAACTATCTGTTCCAAGCTGGGATTATTTGATATATATTCTCCAGCTTGAGGGGGAGTGTTAGAAGTTATATATATAATAGTGGGTCGTTATGTAATTATGTTTAGTTAATAGGCTGTTTGTGTTATTATGTAAACCTTGTAACATATATAAACCTACATAGGCTTATTAAGTTTTGTAAGTGTTTTGATATACAAAGTGAGTACGATTTTGCTATCTCTGTTTCTCTCTTGATCAAGAACAAAGAATAATAATAATTTAAAAATAAAAATAAATTTTTTTTTGTAAACAACCCCTTGAACTATTTTTCCTGCAATACACCCCCTAAAACTTACTCAAAAACATTGTAATTTCCCCCTTGCTGTTTGAAAATAACATATAACAGTTACATGCTACTACTAACAGCTCCATAAAAATTTATACATCAACCAGAAAAACAACCGAATTCCATTAAACCATCATCATCTTAACCTCAATTACCTTCATCCAAACTCAATCCACAACCTTCACTGCAAATACAACCAACAGCAAACCAATCCACATAACCTCCACCTCAATTTGTTGACACTTAGGCTATGAAGTATGGACACGGACACAGAACACGGGTACAACACAACACGGATACGGCGACACGGCAAATTTCAAAAAAAATAGGACACGGACACGGCGGGGATGCGCCTATAAAATAATATATATATATATATATATATTCAAAATCCACAATACCATAAATCTAACCTCCTAAAAAAATACTGCAATAAAAGAAATATTTCAATTAATTATGAACAAAGCAAATTTATCAACAACTTTACAGTTTACATTTTACACACATCCACAAATATAATTGTTCTAATTTCTCTCTGTTTTTCTGGCCACGGTCTAAAAGTTTATTTAATTCCAGTACTGAGATGAATGAATCAAATAAAAAAATAAACATAATGGAATCATAACTTTTCATAAAAGTAGAAGTTCAGAATCTCAGACAAAAGAGTCAAAAGAGTTAAACTTCTAAAATTACATTAGGTACCCCATTTTTCTTAAAAAAAATTACAAAATATACCCCGCCGTGTCCGGTACGCGTCCCCCGCGTGTCCCAGCCGTGTCCACCCTGTGTCCAATAAAAAATAATTTCTGGACACTTCAGAGAAGTGTCGGACACGTGTCCGACACTGGAACAGGACCCCTGAGAGGGTGTCCGTGCTTCATAGTACTTGGGTGATGGAGTCCGGCCATTGGAAAGGAGAGTCAAATGGTGAGATGGGACTTTGACATTGTACTTTTCGAGCTCAACCCATTATTACTAAAGAAAGAAATAATGTACTCTCTACATTTTCTATTTGTAACTCTTCGTACTACAAATCTACCGTTCACCCTCTGCTCTTTCCATGTTATCCACTTTTTTCACCGGCAACAAATCATCCACAAATGAAGCTCCGCGTTCATCCTATGCTCACTCTGATGGTATGCCACTGATTGCAATTATGGGTAATGGGTTGATTTAGAGAGAGAAATGGAGGAGAACGGAGATTGCACAATTTTGGTGATGTGGCATGTGTTTGTGTGTTAATATGATATGTGGGTTTAATTTGGAGGAAATAGCAGACTGGAAAGACAAAGAGGCGCTCGTTTCAGGATCTGCATATATGTTACATCTACATAGAGTATATTAGGGTTTTATGAAAAATAAGAGGAAGAAAAGATGGAGAATGAATCATTTGGAGGGTATTTTTTACAATGGACAGGTCATGGATGGAAATTTATAATTTAAAAGAAATTTGGAAATGTGTCGCAATCTTATTGGATTACAAATTTGGAAGGAAAAAAATGACAAAATCACGTTATTTGACTTTTAGATATTTCAGTAATTTCATATAAATACTAAAGGTGACCAAACACCATGTACCGATTTGCAAAGTTTTTTAAGTTTAGGGGGTTTCTTGAAATGCTAGGTACAATAGTACAAGGGTTTTTGAATTTTGAATAATAGTTTGAATTTTTTCCATAGTAGTAAAGTTTTTATCTAAAAATATGTGCAGGTAAAAACAATCTCAATTTATATCATAAAAACAGAGAATGTGCTGGAAAAAAAAAAAAAAAGTAGTCAAGGCAATATTAATCTAGGTATTTTATCTCCTAGAATGTTTCAAATCAACAATAAGGAAACGCATATTTTTTTCCAGGCATACCTTGTAGCTTTCAGCAGCCACATAAACCGGTTTATTCATGCTATTGGCCACCAATGCAATTTGGTATGTTCCCATCATGTTAATTATGCCTCCACTTTCGACCACTCCGTCCGCCCCAAAAAATACCATGTCAACTTCATCCATGCTATATGCTGCAGCAGAGTCTATCAGGAGCTTCACAGGAACATCAAGCTTTGCTAGCTCATTGGATAACCGTAATCCTGTCCTGTCGGGCCTTCCTTCTGCATTTTAAAGCATGTAATCTTGAAGTGATAGACATTTGCACGTCGAACTAATTGTAAGCCAAAAAATACATCATACAAACAGACAGCTTGTGCATGCATGAGCTTCAGACAATACCTATTGTTCCTGAAGAGAACAATAATGTCAAGAGAGATTATGCTGATAAAAGGATTAGATACACCACAAGATGAGTTTGATACCAGAGTCGGGCACCATATTTAGTGGATGATCATGATCCATAACAAGTAACAATAGCCCAGTGCTTTGATTGCCATGAAGCCAACATATAGTAGACCTCAGTATATTGATCTTTAAAATAAAATAACCTCTAATCTAATAATTTGACAAGGGACTAATTTGTCCCCAGGTTTTTCTTTTTTCGGTGAATAATCCGTTCCCGTGTTACAACTAACATATTATAAGATTCACTTCTTGATAGGCTAAAGAAATTGACTCTACCTTTACTGGACAAAAAGATGTTCATTTACATATAAACAATTTTTTATATTGTATGTGAATTGCTTATTTAAACATCTTTTGTCACAATTATTAAATACCAATTCAAGAAGTTCACCTTTTTATTGAAAAAAACGGAAAACAATTTTACTTTTAAGTATGGGAACTACATTTTTACTCAACCAGCATGACAAGTATTGGCTTGCCAACATAAACCTACTCAAGAGAATATATATTAACAAATGGAATACTAGTCTGCCCTCTGTCTGATTTTGAATTTTATCTCTGAAACCAAATATATAAATTGGTTTTATAACTTTCTGAGTTATTCAATTAAAAGTGCCTTTTACTTTGGAGGATGATATTATGATGTATTAAGTATTAAGAATGATGGAATATAATCAGATTGATTTCTAAAACGTGGCGAAATTTATTAGTTTTTAAGATGTTGAGTGCCCTAGTATATTTAGAATGTGCATATGAAATCCTATCTTTCAAACCTTTCTTTTAGTATAAGAAGTGTTTAGTGCTGTTATCCATGAAAGAAGAACATAGGCTAGTTTGGGGGCTTAACAAAAAAAATTAATACAAAACAGCTCATTCTTTATCTTAGTAATGAACAAAATTTGATTTAGTCCAGCGGCACACAATCAGAGGCAGTTCTGAAAACAAACCTGTGCAAAAAACACGAAACAGTTTCCTATTTTGTGCTGCTGTCTTCAAGACTTCCAACACCACTCTGGAGAAACCATGTACCAAAATGGTACAACCATCAAAGATGAAATCTTGACTGAGCATTGCAATGATTCTGCGTGCCTACAAGATGACAACTTAGTGAAAATTCTTTTTGGGGCTAATGTTAATATGATTGTGTGGACTACAACTGCAGATTAACACAGTAGAGAACTGTTTGCTCCTAAAGCCATAATTAGTTTGCTCACCTTATAAGATATCTCACCAAACTTCTCTGCACGCTCAATAAGGCGAGACTTAGCTGAATCAAAGTCTTCATACTCCAAAGCTGAAGTTCTTGTAACATAGCGCATGAACAGATCACAGCCAGCCGTCAAAGAGATGGAGGTGGTGTCCCATGACTGGAATAAACACACAGATATTGGTAAAAAGACAAATTTTCTTCTTCAGTCTACTTTTAAATTATTTAAGTTTAATGTCAGTTGATGCCAATCACTACCCCATTATAAATGATAAATGCCATAAAGAGACAATGCTTATCAAATCGCATCAGTTTTATTTTTTTTTTTTTCCCTGGAAGTTGAAGCACACGCATACCGACAACATGGGCCTAATGGGACTCAAGATCTGAACCTCCCCTTTGGAGAGGAGAGATCATAATATACAGACTAGAGGCCCGGTGGTAAAGAGTATCAGATTACGTTCTTCAAATGTGTATTCTGTTTCTTTTTTGTCTTGTACTAAATGACAAATCCATATTTAATGACATCCATTTACAAATTACAATTATACATAAATTCATTTGAATGTCATTTTCAATGCACATTAGCTTGAGAAAATTATTGTAGTTAGTAGAACATCCAAGAAAAATGTCATGTCATGAAATGACTAATACTAAAATAATACAAAAACAAGAAAATGCAGGCAATAAGTTTGAATGTAACATCAATTCAAGCTAACTAATGATTCAAGCCAAACTAGCTAGCATGCCTGCCAAGGCTTTGTGTGGCTCCCCACATGCTAGTGCTTAAAATTCCTCAGATTGCCAGAAACTCATCATTAAGTTTAGATATGGTTTCCATGATCCATTGGATGCCTAAACATTTTCCTATTTTCCACCTTTCTATGTCATTGCACAATACACGGTAGTCATAAGGCAACAAATATTCCATAACCAGCTAAGGATGAGAGTTATTCCTTTTCTGATGGAAATATAATTCAAGTGTTCAAAACCATGTCATAATATTTTCATTATAGAATGGGATCAACAGCATGAATTCCCTTTTTAGATTCTTTTCTATTACATGTCTCCAATATATTTAATTTATTTAAATCCTTGGTAATTAATTTGTCCAATGTTAGTTTCTATTGGCCTCTTTGCCTCTTATTTTTAGCAAACAAACCTTTCTTTTCTTACTGGTGTGTCTATGGATTTACATTTTATATGTTCACACCACCTACACTCATTTTCTCTTATTTTATCACTAATACGTGTCACTCCTAGTTTTTCCATCACAGATTGATATTAAGTTATAAACCTTATATTCTTTTAATCACTCCTATCATACATCTCAACTTTCTTATTCCAGCTACATGAATACGTTGTTCTTGTTTCTTTTTTAACACCTAACATTTTGTTTTACATAATATAGCTGGGCTGATAATCATACTATAAAATATTTCTTTTAATTTATCTGAGATTCGTTCATCACATACAACACCAGTAGCCTGTATCTATTTTGCCCAACCTACTCTGGTCCTACTGGATCATCATCCATCTCTCCGTCCTTTCTTATTATTGATCCAAAATATCAAAACATGTTACTTTGAGTAATATTTGGTCTTGAATTGGTATAGTTATATTGCAATTCACTAAAACCATACTAAATTTACATTCAGTATATTTTGTTTTAGCATTACAAATTTTAAGCCCTTTCCTTCTAATGTATTTCTCCATAATTCTAATTTCAAAAATTACTAGAACTTCCTTAGAGCTCATAATTGACGCCCCATTCCACTCCGAGCTCATTGAGAGCCGGAGAAGACAAATCTCCAGAAATCAGTGATAATGCTGAAAGGAACAATGGCTCCAAAACGCTGATGCCGAAAAGCTCAATCAAAAACATCATTAGGAGGAGCTGGAAGCTGATGACAAACAAAGCTCCCATGAACCACATCTTCTATGAGAGGAACAGGAAGCGGCTGAAGAAAAAACAACTACCAAGGCAGCCCAAAAAACACCTGACTAGAGCAAGGCTGAGAGCGAGAAAGCAAAGCAATCTGATGCGCCAGCGAATTTGCAGCACGACAAACATGCTCAACCCGAGCAACATCAAGAGCGTGCAAAAGATGCCGAATGTCAAAAACAAGAGGCAAGATAGATGCAGGGCATGGGCGAATGCCATTCACAGCCTCACATAAGATAAGAGAATCATTCTGCAAACATAAACTGTGAAAACCAAAAAGACGAGCCCAAAGCAAAGCATCCCTCACGACAAAAGCCTCAGCCGAGAGAGCTGAAAATGCAAAGAAAGACTTAAGGACAACAACTCGCAAGACAACTCCCAAATGACAGTTTGAATATGCATATTTTTACTACTTCTAGAGTAGAAAATTCGTTCCACAATGTCATATCCTCTTTCTTAATTTTGTTCGTTTATCTTCTAGATATCTTAAAAAATCACAATTAGCGTCAATTTAAAAGTATCCTAAATTAGATATAAATATACTGATTAAATGTATGCACATGGGCAGTTTATAGGTTATCCAGAAAAAAAAAAAAATTTGAATTGTTCGGTATTATTGATGGGGATTGGATCGATATTTGCCCGTGATGAGCCAATCTAAAGCCTTCAAAGTTCACCGTTCCGACCATGGGCCATCTAGGATCCATTGACACTTACTACCAAAAAGAGTAAGAAATGCATTCGTATGTTAACGCCGCAGGTTTAGGATGGGCACCCCTTTCTCAAATTCATTCAGTAATAAAAATATTTTTCTAAACTCGATTCGAAACGATGGGCATCGATATACATATTTTTTTAAAAAAAATAATTTAAATTTAAATAAATTTAAGATAAATTTTATAAATATTTGATAGTATAGTAAAATATTTAACAATCATAATAACATAAATATTGTTAAAATTTAAAATTATCATAACAAATAAAGGAAAAATTAAAATTAAAATTAGTAAAAGAATATTTATTTATACATTAATTATTAATAAGGGCTCTCTTTTCAAATCCGTCCCTTACACCATTAGGATGTTTCCAAACCTATCCTATTAGAAGCGGGTCGGGACAGGTTAAATTGATATCTCTAGATCTTTTTTAACACAATGTTCATAATTTAAAATAAAATTCAATTATTTTGGACACTTCGTAAAGATCGCCTCTTAAAATTTTCTCTTATAGAAAAAAATTGGCATAGTCACATGACATATAATGATACTTTTATTCGAATGAAATAAAAATATAATTTAATAACAAAGTAATGGAATAGTAACACATACATGATATAACCATCGTTACAATAATTACGTAACTTTAATTTTCTAATTACGTCTACAGAATTGAGAAAGGAAATAAAATTTTATAATAATCTTACTTAATAAATGTGTATGTATAAATAAAAAAATTTATTTTATATATATATAGTTGTATCATAACGTATTTATATATATTTTTTTATCATTTGTAAATTTAATGTGTTCAAATATAATGTGAATGGCACATTTTGTTGTGTCTATACAAATAAAAAAAGGTTAGACCAATGCATAAAACTCCGGATTAGTTCTTGATCTCATTTAATTGAAAGGGAGACGACAGAGTTAGGTTTTGACTCTTAGTTGAAGGCTGATGTATGAACTTATAGACATAACAGTTTTAATTGTTTTTTCTTTTTTTTTTCGGAAAGTAAAGCAACTAGATTAGTTTAATATTGATCACAGCTATAGAACAATGGTTAAGTGCTAATTAACATGATATTTGAAGATAAAGATGCAGAGTTAGGTATTTGATTCTTAATTATTATTATTATTATTATTATTATTATTATTATTACATATCCATGTGTGTTTATATATCAACTTGTTTGTCTGTACACTATTGTGGACATGGTCTAGCCACGTCACCAAGGGCCAAATCAAACAGTCAACACTTTGACAAAGTCCACCTCAGCAAGGCATGTGATAGTCGATCATTGGGCCTCAATCTTAGCCCTACATTCGGTCGATGGGCCTCGAATCTAATAGTCACAAATCATCGATCATAACCTTGATCCGAGTCAAATTGTCGATCGACGGGCCTTGAACCTCAATCTGACCTTTTGACAATCTGTCGGTCGATGGGCCTTGAACCTCGATCTGTTAATCACAAATCATCGATCAATGGGCCTTGAACCTTGATCCTAGGGATGGCAACGGGGCTGAGTTGGGGTGGAGTTGGCTAAACCCTACTCCGCCCCCTTAAAAAATCCGTCATACTAACTCCGCTCCAACTCCAGGACGGGTTTATAATTGGTATACCATCCCCGCCCCTACTCCTGTAGACAAAATACCAACTCCATCCCGCATACTCCGTTTAATTGCGGTAAAGTTGAAACTGTTGAATTAATTCTTGGACTTGGGATAGAATATTAAGGTCTTGAATCCTTGATTGATTCTTGTGAATCACGTGCACAATTGTGGAATTTTAGTAAGTAGTGATTCCAACGAATATTTAATCAAAATATATTAATGGACACTTAACTTAAATATTATATATATATATATATATATAATCGGGGTCGGGGCAGGGGTGGGGTGGGGGCATCACTAAATCCGCCCCCACCCCAAACCCGCTTCGGGTTTTCAATTCTTTTATCATATCCGCCCCAAACCCATTTATGGAGCTACCAAATCAACCCCATTAGGAGCGGAGCGGGGCGGAAACCCAGCGGGTTGGAGGAAATTGCCATCCCTACTTAGAGGTATCTACTTGGTCATCGACAAATAACATGCACCATTTAATGCTTACTTGTATATTCTTTGTTTTTTCATCTAAAACAATTGTAAGTAAATAAGGGCTTAACATTGATCCTTAGTGCAATACTATTTTTTATAAATAAAATAAAATAAAAATAGTCTCTCCACATATAATAGTACCAACTCTAGTCTTTGTCTCACAATACATATTCTTCACTCTACTTTTATATTCCCTCATGTATTGGTTAGATCTGATTGTTTCCAAAAAAAAATAAAGTATTAATACAAAAAATTGGAATAGTCTTGAGTTTTAACCCCTCACCCATATCAGTATATCACCATGCCAAACTGAAAGAAGATTCATGATACCTTCTTTTCTGATCAAGTTTCACTACTTTGTAACGTAGAGTAGGCATATCAATAATGGCTAAACCCACTCCTTTTGGACATAGATGGACCACTAGTGCGGTCTCCCAAATCATGACATGAGAGCTATTCACCGATGCCAAAGCAATCACCTAAAAGATTTATTTGACATCAGTGACCATCCCAAGATTTAGTATCTTCATGAGGTATTATTACGTGAAGAATTTTAACTCACCCAAATCATAATTATCATGAAATATAATTAAGGGGAAAAAAGAAAGCCTCAAGTTTCAACCACTTGGAGCCAAGTTGTTCTGATCTTCCTTTGGCAGTCAGCTATATCTAGGACCATATATCCAGTTAGATCATTAAATATCAGGTCTAGTTACCACTTCAACTCAATCTTTTAAATTTCGTCATTGTCCTTGTGACACAATTTCATATAGTACTCTCCGTCAATGCATCCGTTGGTCTTTTTGCAATACATGGAACAGCATGAGAATGTGATTATTGTCCTTTTGGGCAACACATGCTCTGTTCTATATTGTATAATCACTTCAAGGTATCCAAAAAACCCTTGTCAGACACAACAAAAACTTCAAGATGTCCAAACAACCCTTGTTAGGCACAACAAAAAATTAAGGATATGAATTCACCAACAATAAGCACATACCCAATATGTGTCTCAAAGAAAAAGAATATACGCCAGCAACCCTCTTGGCTGGATGTTTTCAAGTGCATGTTTTAATTTCTTCATATATGTTATGCTACATTAACCAGTCCATACCATACTTTAGTGGAGCAACAGTATCCCTAAAATTTCCAACCAAATACAAATGATGAAGACATTTACCTGTGTAAATCATTAGGACAGAACTAGGAAGCAATGAAATACACAAGCTGTAGGTTTGGGAGTAAAATTATTTTGCTTCAGCCAATCCATAAACTAATCTAGTTGTAACACCCTGTATATTGAATGTGATATCATGAGGAAAGATGTCCGGAAAGGTATTGGTATTCTAAAATCTGAAATGATATGGTACATATCAAAATACTTCTAACTTTCCAATTGAAGAATGGAAGTCAGAAATAGGGTATTATATCAAACATGATCCCAAGCTATAGTCAAGCGTTGAAAGTTCAAAAGATTTTTATTCAAACACTTTAAAATAAACCGTCCTTGTGACTTTAACCAAAACTCCCCAACAAGGGAGGCATTCTTGTGACTCCAACCCCTTTATGTACTTTCAGTTCAACACTTTTAACCCTTTATGTACGACTGCAAACCATTCCCAATTAAATGTATAAAATTGCTTCCATGTAAATGGCACTTTTGACATAACAAAAATAGAGAATCAGTCAGTCACTAGCGAGAGAGTGAATTTAAATTTAACTGGCGGGCATACAATTCATAAAAGAAACGAATTAGTTCAAACTTCAAACCAATAAGAAATGCATCGGATTTATGTAATGCATAAGAAATGAACAGAAGTAACTAAATTAATTAATTGATAATAGTTCAAAAATCATATATTGAACCCTGGATATATATATAGAGAGAGAGAAGCACATACTTTGAGAGAATCCGAAGCCTTTTTGAGCTCAATCTCGAGCTCCATCATCGTTGTTGCCTCACTGGAACGAATGACAGCAGCCAAAGCCCTAATCGCGGCCACCGCCTCTGCAAGGTCGGGCTGCTTCCGCCAGCTATTGAACTCGTCAATCACGCTGAACGGCTTGTCGGAGTCGTCGGATTTCGAGGAATTATCCGCCGGCCGGTCGTCGGGGTGGCGGCCGACGGCAGCCTGAGCCTGGGCGAGCCAGTCGCTGGTGACAACGCCATGGTGAGCCGCCCTGGTCTGATAATACGCGGAGATATTAGGGTTAGGGTTAGGGTTTTGGAGGGTCTCGGCCATGGACGAATTAGGCGTGAATGGAGAGAGAAGACGACTCTCGGGCTTGGCGACGTCGTTGTTTTGCCGTTGGTCGAGGATGAAGGAAGCTGATCTCCGCCACATTTATCTATCTATTTATACACTCGCATATGTGTATATGTTGTAAGTAAAGGCAGTTTGATTAAAACGGCCGAAAGCGAAATCTCCGAAACGTTTTGCCAGATTCCGGCGGCTTTGGGCGATTTGTTGTTAAAGTGCTTTCTCGATTAGTGATTAGTTTATATACAAAATTAAATTTATGGGCCTTGTAGCTTTGTTTAGGTTAAGTTATTTGGAGCATTAGCATAAATTGGACCAATGGGAAAGGAGCGCAAATCCTCTGTAGTCTGTTTTTCCTGCGGTCCCTTACAGTTTACATTGTTGAGGCCTTGGCAACGTATTTTGCTTTTATAATGGGTGTGTTTGGCTTTGCATAATAAAAATAAGTCAACTAACAACGTAAACTAAACGCTAAAAGGTGCCAATTATAAACTAAAAACAAAAACATTGCGAAGTTCAACAAATAGGCACACGAATCACCTTCATCATCAAAACTAGGTATTAACACTATGCTGAATAACTAATATTATACGTAAATTTATGAATTTTTAATTCTTTCATTTGTCAGTGTGCCTATTTTTGTATTAAATGTATGCGGCAATTACACATTCTAGAGGTTATTATTTGATATTTATGAGAGAAAAAACATTGTGAAGTTTAATAAATAGGCACATTGATCACTTCACCATCCAAATTAGGTTTTGACACAGTGCTTAATAACTAATGTCACACATAAATTTATGAATTTTTAATTCTTTCATTTGTCATCTGTTAGTCTAAATTATGATCTTTTTTAGTTGAAATTGACATTGGTTATGCATTTTAGGGTATCTGAAATCTTAGATAATTGTAGGGTTTTCTTTTATAATCTTCAATAAGCATTGTAGTGAACTTCACCATCAAAACTAGGTATTGACACAGTGCTCATTAACTAATGTCACACATAAATTTATGAATTTTTAATTCTTTTATTTGTCATCTGTTAGTCTAAATTTTGATCTTTTTTAGTTGAAATTGACATTGGTTATGCATTGTAGGGTATCTGAAATCTTGGATAATTGTAGGGTTTTCTTCTATAATCTTCAATAAGCATTGTAGTGAATGTAAAATCTTGCAAAATTGATTGTTTGAACTGAGTTGGCTTCATTAGGTACCAATGTGTTATCCAAAAATTTTGGTATTAGATGTATGCGGCAATTACATATTCCAGAGGTTATTATTTGATATTTATGAGAGAAAAAACATTGTGAAATTTAATAAATACTAAATAGGCACACTGATCACCTTCACTATCTAAATTAGGTATTATGAATTTTTAATTCTTTCATTTGCCATCTGTTAGTCTAAATTATGATCTTTTTTACTTGAAATTGACATTGGTTAGGCTTTCTAGTTTATCTGAAATCTTGGATAATTATAGGGTTTTCTTCTATAATCTTCAATAAGCATTGTAATGAATGTAAAATCTTGTATAAATTTTTAATTTTTTTTAACTGAGTTGGCTTCATTAAGTACCAATGTGTTATCCAAAAATTTTGGTATTAAATGTATGTGGCAATTACACATTTCAGAGGTTATTATTTGATATTTATGATAAAAAAAACATTGTGAAATTTAATAAATAAGCACACTGATCACCTTCACCATCAAAATTAAGTATTGACACAGTGCTGAATAACTAATGGCACTAATAAATTTAAGAATTTGTATTGGTCAACTTTTATTTTTAAAGTATTTGTTTTTTTTTATGTAATAAATTATAATATAAGTTAACGGAGGCGAGTGTTAACGGAATAATGCGTTTTGCTTCATTTTAGTGGCCACGTACATGTTATAAATGGGATCAGACGTGGCCAAACCAAGGCCTTTCATCAGCTAATAACAGGGGACCGCAGGGTTATTGACTACAGAGGATTTGAGCCCATGGGAAAGAGGTGTACCACACGACAACGTTTCGGGTTTTGATTCAACTTGGTACAATTGTCCGAATTCAAACTCCCCACCTTTTAAAAAATAAATAAATAATTTTTTTCGATTAAAATAGTGTCCGTCTTCTTAAAGTATTCAATAATTAGACACATTTCTTTCATCTCACACATATGCTATAAAAACAAATAAATATCAACCCCGATTTTACTAAATGGTTGGTCTTGAAAAAGCATTTTTCAAAAGAATAAAGGTCGAGAGGCCTGTGATGCAAGCAATTGATTCTGGGAAGTAATAGCGCAGGTTGAATTTGAAGAAATGGATGCCGACCCGAAATCTGACCCTATCTTATCAACCAAAGAGTCAAGTTCCAACTACAGGATGAATCTACCAAGACGAAGTGTGACTCGCTTGTTTCCTTTAGGACTGCACACCATTAGCAACCGACTTTCCGCCTCTGTATTTGCTTTCGCACCCATTTTCTATTTCTGAGCTAGTCGAAGGACCTAAAGTGGAAGAGATTTTGGTAAAAAGATCATAGTAGGATCACCGACAACTAAGATTAATTATTAGGTTATCCTCAGACCAATTTATTCATATAAGATTAAATAACGAGGTATTCACGCTAATAGGTTGGAAGTGGGCTAATTATATTTGGATTACATGTGTCGATTATTATAATATAGATTGGTTTCTTTAGTTTTTTTGTATGTCTAAGTTTAATTTGATAGCCAGCTTAGTGTTTTGGACAGTATAGTGTAGTAAATCAAAACACGGAATTTTTTGGGTAAGGTTGGGAGTAATTTGAATGGTATTAAAATTTCTTTGAAAAAGAGGTCAAAATTAAAAAATTAAAATAAAAATAACTCCTATTTTGATGAAGTTTTCAATTATAATTTTTATTTTTTTAAATGGTAAATAGCTACTAAGTCTAATAAATAAAATAAATAGTTACTAAGTCTGATAAATAAAATAAATTTGTGATAATGTCCAAACCGTCGATGATACGAAAGAATGAAGATGAACGATCTCTGATCTAGACGCATAACTTCGTCGATGATATGGAATAGTGAAGATGAACGATCTCTGATCTGCACGCACAACTTTAAGACTGATACTATCGAGGACCTGAAAAATAAATAGTGAATCAGACTCACAAACAAGTTCACTCTACTACGACCCACTCAGAGAACCGACAATCAATACATCCCTAACTAAACTCATGCAATATTTACATAGTCGATACATACATATATGCACACTAAAACTCTCACTGAACAATATGACAGTCTCAACCGGATAGTGGGCATCTAATAAAAATTCGCACACGAGGTGGTTAAGAGTTCCATTTTCTACCAGGGTACACACATCTCATATATCCAGCTATTCATCTAAACCGGCAATATACACCTCAATCCTAACCACTGATCCCGAAACCTCAAGGTCGTATCATGGCTCACACACACACACACACACACACACACACACACACACATATATATATAATACATCATCAATAAAGTCATATATAAATAATGGCACAATGTAGCGTGTCTAAACTTATTAGTCAGCCCATCTACTGATCGATCCAACAAAATCATATGTAACAATGGTATAAAATATCGAGGAGCCTAACTTATTAGCTATTTCAATTGTCTCATCAAATACAGGGATAAATCTCATAATAGTCATGTCTAACAATGGCACAACAACTACAAACAGTCACAAATCAAATATAGGATCACATACACGCGATAAAAGGATAATTAAAATCATAATTCTTATTTACTCATATTTAAGAATGGTAAAACATATCACTACAACCATGTATCATACTTGTAAATCATACGTATGTCAGTAACAATGATTATATTCATGAATAAGATTAATACATTGAGTTACACAATTTAAAAGCCATAAAGATCAATTTATAATCTATTAGTTAATTTAATATTTCCCACCAAATAACAAATCACAAGAGTCTTATACAATTTATATATTTTAAACTCGTATCACTATTCTTAACACTTATAATCATGTTCGGGATCATTTATACTCGAATTGGGTCATTTCGAAACACTTTTGAAGTAAACAAGTTCTAGAGCTCGAGCACAAACCCTAACATTCGAGCACTGGGGGTCAGAACAGTGTTATGCTCGAACATAAAGTCACAGCAGTAGTTTTGCAGATCCGTTTTAGGCCTGAAAATCCGTCGTTTGGGTCCTAAGAACATGGTTTATAAGTTTCATATAATTACCAACGGTTTATATGATGAACATAAACAAGACCCATTAATTAAAAACAAGTTCCATGCATTAAATCAAAGAACCCATCAATTTGAAGAACAAACATATATACACATAAAAACAATTGATTCAGTTCATGCATATCAATTAATTGTCCAATTAATTGTTTGATTTAATTAAATCCTAAAACCTAGCGTGTGATAGAGAGACTATAGATCCAAAAGGGAATAGATAGATAAAGAACTTGCCTTGTAATTTTCAAATTGAAAACCAAACCTCAAGTTCTGTACAATCACTCCGGTCTTCTTCTCCAACTCCGGCAACCCTTGTCACATTCGTTGTCTTTCTCCGGTTACATTTTTTTTCATCGTCTTTTTTTAGGGGTGCATACGGTCTAGTTTGGTCCAGTTTTGAGGATTTTTGGAACCAAACCACTCCCTATGGTTCCAGAAAATCTGAAACTGACCAGACCATTTGAGCCATTGAACCAAACCAGCATAAACCGTGAAAAAATGGTTTGGTTCGATTCCACGGTTCTAGTTGAATTTTATTTTCTTTTTTTCCCTCCTAAATTGTATATACAACAAAAATATCAATAAAAGCATTCACATTCCCAAATCCAAGACTAAAATAGAGAGAGAAAAAGAGGGAGAAAGTGTGAAATAGACCCAAAAGCTAAACCCTGGAAATTAAAATAAGGTTGAATATTGCTGAACCTGAAAAGGATGATAAATATGTGGTTGAAAACTAAGAAACTTGATTTGTTGTCGTTGTTGGTTGTGTTTGAGGCGCAAACTGTAACACCCCTAATTTTAAAAGGATAGTTTCGGTATTTATTTATTTATTTTTATTGTATTTTTTTAATTGTTTAGTTGATTATTTGACTAATTGTTTATGTGTTTAATTGAATTAAGTGTTACTTGATTAATTGGCTACTTATCTATGTGTTATTTGTATTTTGTCTAGGTGTTATTTGTATTATTTGTTTAATTAGATTGTGTGCTTAAATGATGTATTTGATTAATT